TCAGAGGCAATTGCAGAAACATGTTTTTTTTAGATCAGAGTGCCCAAAGCAACATGCTACAAGATTATAGGAGAAACATCTTCTTCTAGACAGAAGAGAAAGGATTGTGGCAAATTCAGACAACTAGAAACGCACTTAAAGGAACCTGTAATCAGAACAATATACAAAATGGATGCGGCTAATATTTTTCCAACTATTGAAACCCTTCGAAGTGAGCTGGTTCGAAAGGACATTCTCTCATGTTCAGCAACAATGCTTTGATGATTTCTTAAAACCCATAATTTTAAGTAAAACACTATAGACAAGCGCCAAACCCTAATGGAAAGTACTAGAATAATTATTTCTTTATAAGCACGGTGAGACATCAACGCAATGTCTCACTGTCCGGTAAACTTAGGCCGGCGTGACACCAATAGACGTCTCATGTCAAACAGAAAATAAGACGGCGTGGCTCACTGTAAAGTCACACGATAATGATAAATTTATGGAGGCGATAAATAGCCGTCTATAGAAACATCTAATGTGAACCGGTCTGGAATTTTTAGACACATTCAGTACTTACAGTCAACTGAGTGTCATCAATGAGGAGATATTGTATTTCAAAAATAAAATGCATATAAAGTAAACAAAACATTTATTAGCAAAAACTCAGTTACAAAGTAAAGACATAGTTTTATATAAATGAAAACAAAATCGCATTACTTTGATTTTGTAGCAGAATGCGTTTCAAAAAAACATGGAACACAAAAACTCTTTTTACAAGATGTGCACTGCCATTTCGTTCTTGGAGTTTTGCTTTGTGCTTCTTGCCGTCCTAAAGTTTCTTTTTTTAAAGCATAGCACACAACACATCGACCTTTAGCGTGCTCTTGTAATACATGACGCTCATCATTTTGGATGTTCTTGGCCGATACAAGCTCATGAGTTACATCTAAAAGTGTCAAGGCAAGATGCTCTCTGAATTCAGTAATCTGCATTTTATTTTTCGTTATTTCCTTATAACACAAGTATGCATTCACTAAAGCAGAACCTAAAATTAACTCGATTGCTAACTTCCGGTACCATTTCGTTCCCTTTCTAAGAGAATGCGAATATGCTTTCAATTGATCCGAAAGATCAATATAAGCTTTGGCTTTGTTATAATCCGCGATGGCTTTTGGTTTTTCTATCTCCTTTCCACGTTGTCTCACTCCCACTACCTCATCGGTGTGTTTGGTGGTCAATAGCAGCACATCTCTCGTATCTTTCCATTTCATCATAACGACACCTGTACCACTTTATGGGGAAATACTTCATGTCTTTTTAGTTTTTTTGCCACAACTTCTTTCGCGTTCAGTTTTCTGTTCGTCCTTACAGTTCCAACAAGATGTGTTTTTCTGTTCAATAATTTAGATGCTAAATCCACACTAGTATAGTAGTTATCCGTATGGAGGGTTCGACCTTTGTCCAAAAGATTGTCCATCAAACTCATGACTATATTCGCTGTTGCATTACTGATACCATCAGTTCCACAATACACTTGTAGATTATAGGTATATCCACCAGTTGTACAAAGTTTGTACAATTTGATTCCAAATTTGTTCTTTTTGTTTTTAATGTACTGTTTAAATTTTAAACGACCTCTAAAAGGAACAAGAGTTTCGTCAATACATACATCTGGTCCTGGCACAAGAACGTACTGAAATCTTTCTATCAACTTATTGATCAGTGGGGTCAACTTTCTAAGTTTATCATTTGCAAAGTTCACATCCTCGTTATTGTTGAAATGCCACATTTGAAGGAGTTGTTCGAATCTGTTTCTTGGCATGAGATCTTTTACCTTGTTAGCGTATAAAAAATTAGTGCTCCAATAAGCTTTTAGACGTGGTAGCTGAACTAAACCCATCCAAATAATTACACCAGAAATATTTCCATTTCTGTGTTATCAGTGGGAACCCATTCCTTTACGTGGCCTTTTGGCATCTGCTTCTCTCTCAACACTTGCTCGGCATAAAGATTGGTTTGGTACACCATATGGTCAATAATCTCATTTGTAATAAATAGTTTGAAAAAGTCGTATGGAGTCTGCTCATATCTATCGTAGAATTCAGCTTTAATTCCAATATCAACACTAGAGAAATCAAACGTTCTTAGTGAAGTACCATCAACGGGTCCCCATACTATTTGAGTATCCTGGGTAGTGTTATTTTCTTCATCGGCGTCTTCGGATATATTTCGAGCTATCACATCTTCAATAGTTTGATCAATCTGTAACAAAATAACTGCTGTGATCCAAAAAATTTTCAATTGATTTACAATAGCAATGTCGCCAACAAAAAAGAAAGATCTGAACTAAGCTTACTCACCATACTGTTGTCGTGTTCAGTTGTAAGTTCACTGATACATTCAACTGACGTGGATGGAGCAAGTTCTCTTTCAACATTGATCGCCTCAGTGGTTTCAAATTTTTTTGCACGTTTTGTAGGAATTTCTTCATCACTACAGGTTGCGTCACTACTATCAGGTACATACTCATCGGATAAATAAACGTCCTCAAATTCACTTATTTTATCGTCTTTATCAGATAACAATTCATCCCACAATGTTTGCAGCCTACGTTGCTCTTGTTCATAATCACCGTTAGCCATGCTGCTCTCTTGATGTTTCGACTTAGAATGATGAAATGTGCATAGTCAATGAAATCAGAAACACAAACCAACTTGTTGACATGCGCAAAGTGTGACATCACATTCATGTCTCGCCGTCTCTGTAGGCCGATATATTCGGAAAGACGGCGAGACATTAATGTGATGTCACGAGAAAAATGATAAAAAATACGTAAAATTTTGCAATATTAGAACTGAACTATATGTCAGTTATACATATTGAGCATTCTATTTAACAAAAAATAAAAAAAAACTCACGTCCATGCGGAACTTTTTTTACTTAGTACACCCGTGCTTAACGTGTTAAGAAACAATTATATCAGACAGATAACTGAGTATCAAAAAATGAAACGAAATGTATATTTAGATGAGACCTGGTGTGATGAGATGAGACTCATGACAGGACAGAGAATTTTAATTTTTCACTGCGGTGGAGAAAATAGATGGATCTACGATGTATTAATAATATCGCTAATAAAAATTAAAGACCCGTCTCTAGATTATCATGAGGATATGAAAAGTTTAATTTTTAAATCGTGGTTTGAAAAATCTCTTCTTCCGAGATTACCTAAATATAGTATGACTGTCATGGACAACGCATCATACCATTCAAGATTAATGAGAAAATTCCCAATATTACTTGAAACAAATTACAAATTCAAAAATTTTTATTTGAGAAAGATTTGTACTTTGAGGCATCATATAGTAAAAGCAATTGTTGGAGGTTGTTTATAGTAGACAGTACCAGAAGGAATATGTTGTTGATAACTGTACTCGCAGTAATGGGCGTACCATGCTTAGACTTCCTCCTTATTATTGTACATTGAACCCAATAGAGTTAATATGGACTCAATTTGAAGGAAATATACGAAGAAGAAACGTGGCTCCTAAATTTTCGTCTACTGTTCTCCAGTTAATTAGAAGAGAAGTCATAAAGATCACAGCAACCAACTGGAAAAATGTAATCAAACATGCACTCGCAGTGGAAAATGACTATGTTAAATATTTACCAGCATTAAACAAATTAACTATAAATTTAGAAGATACGAGTGATACTAGTGATAACAGTGATTCTGAGTAGATTAGTATAGTAAAATACTTGTACACAAAAAAATTTGTTTAATTGTATGTGATAATTACTTTTATTAATCATTTTTTATAAATAATATTATTTTACAATAAGTTCTGTTCAGTCAAGTCGATTAGTGTTATCACTCCATAGATACATCACAGAAGTATAACAACACCGATATTTTTTTATTTAAACTTTATAGAAAATGAAACTTTTTGGTAAATAAAATTGCAGTCATGATCTTAGCATTGACCTTAGAGTTCGTATGATATCTTGCTACATCTTTCCTGTCCTGCTGTATGGAGTAGAAGCGTGGACCCTAACTGAGGCTATGCTTAAACGCTTGACAGCCTTTGAGATGTGGGTATACAGACGACTACTGAAAATAAGCTGGGTCGACAGAGTTAGAAATGAGGAGGTCCTTAGACGGCTGAACCAAACAACACAACTGGTCAATATAATAAAGAAACGCAAGCTGGAATACTTCGGTCATATTATGAGACACCCTGAAAAATATGATCTTTTACATCTGATCATTCAGGGAAAGATCCAAGGTAATCGTGGTCCTGGTAGAAGAAGAACATCATGGCTGAAAAATCTAAGGCAATGGTATGGAAAATCAACTACATCGTTATTTAGAGCTGCTGTCAATAAAGTCACGATAGCGAATATGGTAGCCAACATGATATCCAACGATCGATAACGGTCATGGAACTAGAAGAAGAAGAAGAAATAAAATTAATTAAAAATAATAACTTTTATTTAATTTAAAATTAGATATCTACGCTACTGTTGATTAAAGTACTGGCCACTCTAACATTGTTGGCAATTTGCTAGTATCTTACTCGCTCTTGTTACTATAAATTTTCCAACGAAATTTCGTGCCGACTGTATCTCAAATTATAACACATGTAACTGACTTCGTCACAAAAGTCAACCTGTATACTTGAAAAATCTTATTTTTATTTCAATACGACTTTGTAACTGTAAATTTCTAATACACTGTGCCTTTGTAAGTCGAAATTGTACACTTTACCTTTAGCTGAAAATAGCTCAAAACGTTTTGTAGTTTCCTTAAAATTCATTTGTTTTTTATTACGGTACAAGACAGAACAGTATGACAGACAATACTTCGACGAACACCAACACATACACATATAAACCAATGAACAGAATAATTAAAGACAAAAACTTAAGCTGATAAACCAACTCCTTTCAAAACTTCACATTTCAGCGCATTTCCTGGTAAGCAGATACTACTCCAACAACCTCCAATAACTCACCAGAGCGTAACAGTTATCCGTTGACAAAATCATAACGTCTATAGGTGAAGTGTGATTGGCCACACATACCGATCCTTTAGCTGGTCTCCATTGTTTGTTGTGTACATTTATTTCTGCTGAAATACACTGGCACATTATGCGAAATCCTATCTTGTAACATTTTTCATTGAGCCATCTTCGAGCAGATCCGCCCGGGCATGCTGATAGTGCGAATGTTGATATTATCAGTGAGAGAAACTGTAAATGTTAGCGGTTATTACTACATCACATTTTTGTTAAATACAGTGGTGTTAATATTAACATAACTATACAGATTTTATTAGAAAAATTAACATTACCGATTATTACATTGTTGTTAAATTCAGGATTTCAATATTATCATGTATGGTTTGCGCCATTTAGTTCACTTTAAAACACACAGAATGCTGATATTGTATTAAATGCTTATATTCTATATAATGGGGAATATGGACAACTATGTTTATTCCACGTTAGTATAGACAACATTTGGTAACATATTTTAGGACAATTTGTGCTCAGTGGTTTATTCAAGCCAATATTGTTTGCCAACAACGAAAGATTCATGAAAATTTACTATTAGAATTAACAAAATTTATCAGGAACTTGGTTTTAAAGACACTCATGTGGAATAAGGAAAAAAAAGATTTAATTTTAAACATTACCTTTAAACGCAAATAACTTGAAAACTGCTTACTCTATCGCATTGAGACAGAAAGATGATATTTGCGTAAAAAGTAACGAAAATTAAAAAAAATATGCTGAAGTGATTATTACGCCAGTGGAATATATTGTGAAGGGGGAAAAAGTATATATCCCTACAGCACGCCTCTAGAACAGCAGAAAACTATATTTTAAAACTACAAATTTTAACAATTGTTTGTCAAGTTTGGACAAAAAATATTGGAAGGTTTTAAAACATGGGCTAAAATCATTTTAGAATATTTGTAATAAAACACTCCGTATCTCGGTAAGGAGGAATATTTTATTTAAGTGTTTTAGGTTAAATATTCGTATTTTGTATAACCAAAGCAGAGACAGAATCGGTCAGAACATCACCATCGATTGACTTTAACTTTGAGCGCATTAGAGAATTCAAGTATCTTGGAACAACAATAACTGAAGACAATAACGGATCACAAGAAATAAATAACATGATTCAGGCCGGCAACAGATGTCTTTTTGCCCTTCAAAACCTTATAAAATCAAAACAACTAGCACGACGTACGAAGATACAGATCTATAAAACAATCATACGACCCGTTGTGATGTTTGGAAGCGAAGCGTGGACAATAACAAAGGCTAACGAAGAGAGACTATGTGTTTGAGAAAGAAAAATCCTAAGGAAGATCTTTGGTCCTGTGCTGGATGAAGCATCAGGACAATATAGGAAAAGAACTAACAAAGAGCTCGAAGAACTTTACCCAGACGCCAACGTCATGAAAGAAATAAAGTCCAGAAGACTCCAATGGGCAGGACACCTCAGAAGACATTCTGACGAACGAACAGTAAGACTGGTGTGAGAAGAAGTCCCAACTGGAAGGAGACCACGCGGACGCCCTCCTCTCCGGTGGCGAGATAATGTAGCAGGAGACTTAAGCACTATAGGCGTGGAGAATTGGATGGAGGTTGCTCAAGACAGAAAACAGTGGAGGCACGTTGTCGAGTCGGCTAAAACCTACGAAGGGTTGTAACGCCACGGAGTAAGTAATTCGTATTTTATGCTAAGGTTTCTCCAGTTACTGTATGAACAATTCTTAATACATGACCGAAAAATAAACAACCTATGTTTCGCATATGACGCAGTTCTTCTTGCTGCACTGATACGACTGGTTGAAAACGAAAGTAAAATATTTGGTCTGCACTTAGACATATCAAAGACAAAGATCAAGAGAGTGGATAGACTACGAGCCCCTTCCCATATCAGTTGGCCCACCTATGGAATTTGCAGTTTAAGTCGATTACCATAAACAAATTATACTAAGCATGTATTTTTTATAAGTTCCCATATTAATTAATATCACATTTTCATGTGTATCGCAATAATATGTCAATTTGGTAATCATGAATGTGTTGCTTGTGTAAGTCCATTTCAAATAGGCAAAGAAATAATAAATAAGACTTACTCACAATCAATTTAATTTAACTATCAGACAACCGGTTTCGCTTTCTACAATATGCAAAGAATCCCTAGGTCTCGATACAAAGTTAAATCAATGCTGAAATGATAAAAACCCATATTAGGGTGTTGTCCAATAAAGATAAACAAAGTAGTTGTTGTAAATTACAATAATTATGCCAATATTACATGTCTGTGGTTTTATTTCAAAAAGAGTAAGTTGAATAAAAAGGTATAAAAAGTGTTAAAAGTTTAAACAGACAAGGTAAGGCCCACAAATTTTTATAAAATAGTCTATTAGATTGTAATAAATTAATAAATGAGCAAATAAATAAACATTACTTACATGCCGGTACTCTATTAATTGATGGATGGTAGAACATGGTTGAAACTACTATGTATTGTTGAATGGAGAACTCAATTCTGCTATTGTAGTTGTTTGACAGTAAACGGGAAGTTCTTGAGGAGACAGATTTGATCCAATGAAGCAGAGATATGTGTGTGATTGTTTGTTAAGTGAAAGTGATGTAATGTACCATTGTATTATTAAAAGTTATTTATACTTATTCGAGAGATATGTTTATGAAATGTGTGTTATTTATTGAGTAGTTGTTTTATTAAGGTGACAGTTTTATGACAATGAATAAGTTTAGATGTACAAATTGTGTGGGTGTGCAATTATTTTTTAACTTGTAGTTATCAAATTTCTTTGATAAAGTTCTATTGGCAAAATAGTAGATTATTGCAAAGTCAAGTAAATAAAATATTAGAATTAAAACAATTAAGGACAATTTAAACCACACTAAGACAGAAAACACTTAGAAGAGACGAAACAAACATTAAATTTAAAAGGGGGAAGGACTTTTATGCACTACATCTCAGTCTTGGACACAATGAGTTTTTTATGTGTTATCTATTAGATTTTAGTGGTAAATTTGACAGATGTAGGTTAGCATGTGACAGTTCTTCTTCTGTTTCTCAATACTGCAAGTTAAGTTATCTAGTTTTATGAAATATGCTGATATAAATTACTGATGATTATTTTTATCTTTATCATTTTATCATCACATATTTTTCAGAAGTAACTTCAATATTATGATCTAACAACATTTATTTCAGAATCCCATATATAATTAGATGCATTTGATACACCTCTTATATTATTTAAATCTTCTACATCAAAATTAAAATCTGGTCCCCTTGGATCTAGTTCTATTAATATCAGCATATTTCATAAAACTAGATAACTTAACTTGCAGTATTGAGAAACAGAAGAAGAACTGTCACATGCTAACCTACATCTATCAGATTTACCACTAAAATCTAATAGACAACACATAAAAAACTCATTGTGCCCAAGACTGAGATGTAGTGCATAAAAGTCCTTCCCCCTTTTAAATTTAATGTTTGTTTTGTCCCTTCTAAGTGTCTTTTCTGTCTTAGTGTGTTTTAAATTGTCCTTAATTGTTTTAATTCTAATATTTTATTTACTTGACTTTGCAATAATCTACTATTTTGTCAATAGAACTTTATCAAAGAAATTTGATAACTACAAGTTAAAAAATAATTGCACACCCACACAATTTGGACATCTAAACTTATTCATTGTCATAAAACTGTCACCTTCATAAAACAATTACTCAATAAATAACACACATTTCATAAATATATCTCTCGAATAAGTATAAATAACTTTTAATAATACAATGGTATATTACATCACTTTCATTTAACAAACAACACACATATCTCTGCTTCATTGGATCAAATCTATCTCCTCAAGAACTTCCCGTTTACTGTCAAACAACTACAATAGCAGAATTGAGTTCTCCATTCAACAATACATAGTAGTTTCAACCATGTTCTACCATCCATCAATTAATAGAGTACAGGCATGTAAGTAATGTTTATTTATTTGCTCATTTATTAATTTATTACAATCTAATAGACTATTTTATAACAATTTGTGGGCCTTACCTTGTCTGTTTAAATTTTTAACACTTTTTATACCTTTTTATTCAACTTACTCTTTTTGAAATAAAACCACAGACATGTAATATTGGCATAATTATTGTAATTTACAACATCTACTTTGTTTATCTTTATTGGACAACACCCTAATATGGGTTTTTATCATTTCAGGATTTATTTAACTTTGTATCGAGACCTGAAGATGCTTAGCATATTGTAGAAAGCAAAACCGGTCGTCTGATAGTTAAATTAAATTGATTGTGAGTAAGTCTTATTTATTATTTCTTTACCTATTTACAATTTGGTACTTACGAAGTAAGTTTTATAATTGAAAAAATTAGTACGAATTGTTTTTAATTAATTTCATTTTATTTTAGGCTAAGGAAAAGCCACTTTAAACATTATAACAAAAGAAAAATAGACTAAGATGGTCAAAAGAGCATCAAGATTGGACTCAGTCGCAATGGGAATCAATACAATGGAGTGATGAGTCCTGATTTGAAGTGTGTGTTGGACACAGTAGGAGTCGCGTCATTCGCAGGAAAAATAAAGCTTTCCATCCCGACTGTCTGAAGAGAAAAGTCAAATTTCCTGCATCTATCATGATCTGGGACAGCATACATATATATATATATATATATATATATATATATATATATATATATATATATATATATATTGTTACGATTTTAAATGTTATGGCATATAGAACTGTAAATATTTTATGACTAATTCTTTTATTGATTCTCGTAATTTCTAGGTCAAAAATCTACCTGAATCGAATGTTCTGGGGGCGACAAGCCGATAAAGAACATGTTTTGAGACCAGTCGCCGCTGTGTCTACATCGAGAACAGCATGGTATTTTCTACACCTTTCTGTTTACCGGCTTGGAATTATATAAATAAGGGAAGACTTTCATTAAGGAGTCAGTCATAAGAAGCTCGGGAACCGCGATATTTAAATGTAACGAAACATAAATTATTATTTGTAATATAAATTACGATTAATAAAGACTTTAATAAATTCGTAATTAGTTATCGTGAGTTTTAATAAATTAGAGTATAGACAATAAATTAGAATAAAGACAAATAAATTAGAACTATATGAATATACCACAATATATATATA